AGAGCGTCCCTCGAAATCGACGACCGCGAGTGGATCAACGACTGGTCAGACGTCGCCTCGCGGCCATTCTTTCCAGGGCTGCACCTCGTCCACCTGGTCGAACCCTTTTTGTACATAGTCCTTTTGATATACGCTAACGAAACTCCTAGGTGTGAACAGAGGATAACGGGAAAATGATAAAAAAGATGAGATAGGTTCGTTCCTGTAGAGTAAGCTCGAACGTTGTCGTTTTAAGGTTCTAGGTTACACGTAGTAGCAGACGACGGTCGTCGTGCACGTACTTAACGAACGAGAATGATGGAGAGAGGAGAGGAGAGCGTGATAGGGAGAGCATGTGAGAGGGACAGAGAGGAGTGGAGGGAACGTTTGACGCGATCAGAAAGAGAGGACACGACCACGCTAGCAACGCGACCAGCGGCTTTATGCCGTTTGCAGCTTTTCAGGAAAAGCGTTTCCATTGTTCAGGCGTTGACGGCGTCGTTTGGGTTTTTTCGAGAGTTCACGCGGTGACGAGCGCGAGATTAGAATTTTTTTTTAAATACCTTTGCCACGGTATTTTCTTTGGCCTTTATTTATTCCTCTTTCTCCTCATTTTTCGCGGGAAAAGTGAAAAAATGGACTGGGCGACACGAGGAAGCCTTCTCGTTTACCTGAGACCTCGTTCGATTCGTGATCATTGTACACGTCGTACATAAGTATCTACAAATTCTTTCTTTATTTTTCTTTTCTTTTCTCGCAGTTCATCTTTAAATCGTGGAGATATCGAGATAATTCGATAGTTTTGCTCGAAACGATAGGAGAAAATATTTTTCTCGTCCACTTGAAATACCGTGCGATTCATGGATGTCATAGACGCCATAGGTATGTATTTCTGAATAATTTTTTCTTTTTTTTTCTCGCCGATAATTTCTCGGAATAAGGTCCCATTTAATTCACGAATATCATAGATATTCTTCGACGAATTTCTTCTTTTTTTTTTTTCTTTTACGGTTAGGTATGGAAACCGTGGAAATTTCCAAGTAATTCAATGCTTCGACGCGACGAAAGATTTTTCGTTTCATTTCAGGCAATTTTAACGGCGACGTTACCGCGAACGGCGTGATAGATCGACTTCGGTTCGCGTTTATAAACTGTAGGCGATACATTATATAAAGTTAATCGAAAGTTCGGAACACGGTGCGAAAAAATTTCACGCGAGAACTCGCTTTTATTCGCGTATCCGGCACGGTTTACCGCGGGGATCGGGAGGACCCGAAAATTCTCGTTCCTCTGCCAAATATTGACGCGAGTTGAAAACAGAAAGCATTTTTCCAACACGCGCGTCACAGTTGAAACGTGACTTCGTGTATTTTCTCGGCGACGCAAAAAAAAAACGCTCTTTCAGACGTGTTTCAATGAGAACCAAGAGGATCGATCCGGTCGGGACACGGTCGAGTAAGAGAAGTCTTAACGATCATCCTTTTATTTCCGTTTCATATTTCATTTCTTCTCTGTTTTCCTCTATTTCTTCTTTTAATTTCTTTCTCGGTCTCATTCGTTCCGAACGAATGAACTCGCGATAGGCAGAACGAAGCGCAGAGATAAGTAGACAAACCGAGGGAAAGCGAGAGAGGAAGGATTTCGAGAAATAAATAGGGACCAAGAGTTCGTTTTTTCCAAGTCACGTGAAGGGAATCGAGAGATCGCGATCTATTCGTCGCGATCTGATGACGGAGAAAAGCAGACTGTCGAACTTTCCGCTTGCTAATTCGCAGCTTCGCGTACTGAGAGAAACACCTTTGCAGTCATTAGGCATTTAAGTAGACGATCGTCTGCTCGATCGAATATTTTCTATTTTTTTTTCCATCTTTCTTCATATTTTTTGATTTTGTTTTATTCTTACGAGGTATATGTCGGTAATTATATAAGTAGATTAAATCATACGAATATTCTCTTATATTTGCAGTTATTATATAATAAATATGAGAAATAATATTCTCAATAGAAATAATATTTCTCAAATATTTGCAATTGAATTAAAATGAAATATTAAACGATTTTGATTTTGAAAAATTGAGAAAGTAATTTGACACTTGACTACAAACTTTATTTTTATTTTTCTATTTTCTGTCACCTCGCAAAAATAGTTTTACGTTATTGCGAAATAAATCGATTTAATAGGGGGAAGCGAAAAATTCACTTAGGCTACTTGTATAATTACTGGCACGTATAGCTGCAGGATACGCGAATCGTTGATTTGATCATTCGCGTCGCGCGTGAAAAGCTGTCTCGTAGTTCAGAAACTACAAAGACACGCGTTCACGGTAAAATGTATTGTACATTGTTCTATCTTAATTTAATTATTTATACGAACGTATTGTCGTACGTTTTCAATGCACTCTGCACCGCGAGTTCTTTGAGACGAGTCGAGCCAGGGTTCGAATAAGCGAACCAGCTTGGCCTTTGATGTATTTGCTAAATGTTGTACAAATGTTTTCTTTGGTAGAGCTAGAAGTATTATTTTTCATGATTTCGTTGTGTAGATTTTGGGTGGAAAGTATTTAAGCTACGCGATTCGAAGGCAGCTCTTCTTGCCTTTCAATTCTAGATTATAATTTAGCGTATCTCTTTTTACTGTTCCTACGTTATTTATGCGATCGTGTCGTGGGTGGACAAGAAAAATCTTATAGATCTTTGAATAGATTAATTCAATTTTGGAAAAAATATTTCACGATGCAAATATTCCTTTATTTTATCAGAAATATAAAATTGTCTTTAAAATAATTATTAATTATTTTTATGAATATATTTCATATTTTCGATAGCATAATTCGTGAACTCGGATGATTTATGATATACCGGATCACTGGAACTCGAGCAAAATTTTAGTAATTTCTTCTAAATTTTTGTAGTTAAATATGGAAGTAAATCACGTTGATCGAAGCAGCATTTTTCTTGTACGTCCATGACGTTATTCGGTATATAATATTTTAATATCGCAGAATATTTTTCTACACTTATCTAACGCACGATCAATATATAAAGATGTTTATCCGTTTATTTATAACGAAGTATTTTGTACGCTCTGTTCTCGTGTCACGTAAATGACGCTTTTTCGTAGCTGTTAGAAGTTTCGACAAATGTATTTCGCTCGTCGTTCTCTCAGTACGAGAATCGAGAATGTGGAAACAAATGTGTATCATATGCAACAGAGTAGCGTCGTATGTACGAGGACGAACCAGAGTCTACGCGAAGATCGCGTAATAAAGAAAGTATAATTCATCGATCGAGCCACCAGAATCGGGGCCCAAATTGTAAGCCAGACTCCTTTCTTTGAAAATCGTTTGATAAGTATCATCGTTGATGTACATTCTCAGAGACTCAAACAGTATTACAACGTTATTCCCGTTATACATTTTATTGAAATTTGAGAAATTTAATTTTTACCTAAAATTATCGTACGTGTTACGACGGAGGCGCTAAAAGATCAAGAAATTACAAATTTAATGATGGACGTACCGAGAATTTTTAATATTTCTCAATTAATATTTAATATTTAATATTTGTCAATATTATTTTAAATGAATATTTAATATTATATAAATATTTCCTAGTATTATTTTGAATAAATATTTAGTATTATATAAATATTTCTTAGTATTTCTCAATTGGAAATTTTATAAATATTCATTAAATATTTATTATGTCAGATATTTTCGATTAAATTCTGTTGCTACAGTTTAACAGGAATTTAAAGTTGCTTATGCTTAACTCTAATTCAAATCGATCTATTAGTAGACCTAACTCAAACCCAATTCAATTTATCTTCGAATCTAATCTAGATATAATTCGAACGTAACTTATGCCTAATCCAATATAATCCAGAGCATCATTGAACTCGATCGAAGCACAATTCTGATAACCAATGTATTTGATTCTCTCAAACCTGGCTCAAGCTATCCTCCAGCCAATTCAATCTAATTAAAACCTATCTCAAATTGAACATCACAATTGTGCACACACACGTCCGCTTGAGACATCCACCGTGCAAATAGTAATTATTCAAAACGCGGTAATAATTAAGCACCACCATCGTAACACGTACGTACACCGTTACCATTATTCGTCTATCAGAACCTCACGATTCACTCTGATCCATGACACCGATGATCTTTCCTCCACCGATCCACCTGACCATCGTGTACCATTTTCTACCTTCCCTACCAACCCATTCTTCACACACCTGTAAATATCCACGACATCGACGATATCTCATCCAAGTCTCCACGAATTTTATAAAAATCCTGCATTAACAACGCGAAATCCATCTCTACCCGGTACCCAATCGCTCAAGAAAGAAAGGAGCCCGGCAGCGGCCATCCCGAGGACGTTCTCACGTTAGAATCGTAACGAACAGTCGACAATTAATCCATGCACGTTTATCATAAACCATACACGATTAACCGTACGAACTTATCCCTAAGGAATAATAGTTAACGAGTGTTACCGTGTAAGCGCGTCGCGTTGTCAATATTCCAGTGGAGAGAAATCTCTGTACACTGCTAAGCACCCATCCGTACGATCATCGACTTGCCTAGGCCCGTGTTCAACGAGACGCCCACGTGAGTCTCCCTAGTTGAAAGCACGCGTGATCTCCTAATGAAAGTACGCGGTACTTTCTCCAAACGCAAGAGGGTACCATTTGCTTGTATCAAAAGGGAGAGATTCGCGTTGACAGGGAGACTCGTGAGAACAAAGCGACATCTTCTACGCGGGGTCGTCTCGATCGACTCCTCTAAGCTTGTTCAGGGTGTGGTCTCGCGATGGCCTGGTCGTCGGGAAATTTTCTACCGATCTTTTCGCTTCTTTTCTACGACTTTTCTATCACGAGAAAGCGAGTGAAAGCGTCTGCGAAATTAACGAGACGAATTATCGGCGACCAGAGAGGTGCGGGAGGTCGATCTAGCGTCTCGCGAAGATGAATGCTCGCCGTGAGGCGGAAGTGACGAAGGGGATGAAGGATGAGGACGAGGCAAAACGCTGGAACGCGTCTCTGTCACGTCCTGAGGATTCGCTAGGACAGTGAACCGCGTAACGAATAACCCTGATAGTTGCGATTCTGTAAATACAAATGGAAAGTCGTGTATATATATATAATTATATGACACATAACATATGCGTATATCTATGCGTTATCTAGGGTGTAAGGTTGGATAGGTCGTAATCGAATTTAATGGAGGGAGCCACGGCGCAGTGAGAACGACAAAATGGCGCGTGGAGGCCATTTCGCGTTTTCCTGCACGCCGTCGTGCGTCGACGTACAGACGAGGCCTGTCGACCACGTTAATCGCCGATCGATCGATCCGAGATCGCCTAACGATACCTTCTAGTACACACGAACTACTTTCATCCTTGAACGATTGATTGATTGACTGATTGATTGATTGATTGAGAGAGAATACGAACACACTTGCTTACTGTCTAGTCACTAGGTCGTTAGTCGAAGGTCCGTGTCCGTGTTCACGTTGCGATCTGAAAACACGAGCACCTGTATTTAAATTCCTGTTTTCGACTTGACGATACGACTGCTAATTTTTAATCTTACTTTTGAACTGTACTTGTAGATTTTTCTGCTTTGGATTTATCTTGCGTGGACGTGCAGACCGAGGAAAAGTAATCACCTAGGTCAGGGTTTCTCAGACTTTCTTTGTTCATGGCCTCTTTTCATTATTTTCTTCGTGTTGTCCAAAAGTTTTCGCAGTATTTAGTATAGCATTTAGTATAAACATTTTCCAAATTTACATCGTGGGCTCTGTCGAAGAAACCTGATTTAGATGCACGATACTTGGATCCTGTTGAAGCAAAGAAAGTTTGCATGTATAGACAGGGGGAAAGTTAGTCGAGGTGTAGTTGTTACAAAGATTTGATCATTTACATCAGTATTTTTTGGAGAGACTGCAGGATTTTTTATTTCAGTTTGATCTTTTGTATCGTTTTATTTATTGCTATCTATTTTTGAGTAGATGTATGTGAGATTCAGGTGAAATTGCTATTTAAGTGGTCGCACTTGAGTGGTCTATTGCTATTGAAGAATACTGGTCAGTATAAGTATTTTTAGAAGTAAAATATTTTATAAATTGATCGAATTATTTTAACGAGATTGAAACATTTTAAATCGTGTTGTAGTTGTGAAAAATTCATGGAACATACGATGCTTGAAGCTTAAAGACAGTTCAGGTGTATGTTCCAATTATCCCAATCGATCCAGTGGTATCAAAATTGATTTGTTGAGAAAAGTATATAATACGATATAATATTGTTTATTAAATTATTGAACAATACTAATATATGTATATATTATTATATAGCAATATTATTAAACGATATTATTAATTAATAACAGTGTTTAAACGCGATACTAGAATCAATTCTTATATCACTTTTATCCGATATTTATTTATAATCGATCTAAATAAATTTTTGATAATTATATTTATACTACTTGCAACAATCCAGCGTGAGAAAGTTAATATTCTATTCATGATGTTGCATTGTCACGTTACATTCATTGTCAGAGTTTAGAAATATTGTCTATATTTTTCTGTTATCGAGTGCTATATAATAATAGCATCCCAGTGTTTTAACTCGGCAAATTTTATCTCGAGTTAAACCGATATAAATGCATGAATCAACGTGAAAGTATAAGAAAGCAAGTGCCATGTTTTCTCATCGAGCCAGGACACGGATCGCGTTATGCCTAAATTAAGAGTATTCGAGTTAGACTTAACGTTAAGTTTCGTGTTAAGCGTATTTTTGGTCGACATTCCCTTAATTATAAGGCGTTTATAATTGCACGATAAAGAGGTTTATGTAGGTCAGCGTGTTTTTCATTTCGCCGATTTCGCTTGCGTGTAATTTACTTTATTCTACTTTCACCCCTTCGATTCCATCCAGAATAATCTCACGACGATCGTTGTTCCCTTTTCCAACGAAGGATCGATGGAAATCAAGAAAATGATAATTAAGAAAAGAGAGGAGAAACAAGAGAGATAAAAGGGGACAGGAACAGGATCGATCGTTGCAGATTTTTATCGATCGAATTTAACACCGTACTGCGATCCATTTCTTTCAGATTCGACTTGCGAAAATGAGAAAATCCATGTAACTAGCTGAACAATTGACAGCTCGATTCTCCATTTTTTTACCATTAGTGGTTCTATAGTCGAAAGTTTTTAAAGTAAGAAATTGTATCTGTCAATATAAATAGAATATCGAATTTACAGAATTGTTAGGTCAAAAGTGATCGAGTCCGTGGTGTACGAAGAAAATGTAGAACGATATCTGAAAATTTCTACTTTCTTTCCTTTTTATTTTCAATTAATAAAATACCAATTTTTCTTTTTCTCTTTGAACATTTTTCAATAATATTCTCAACAGTGAAAGTTCAGTTCTTATAGTATTTGAAACTGCTTGCATATAATGAAAATGAAAAGAAGCTTCTATGCATCATAAGATTCGATAGTTCCCAAAATTCATATATAAAAATTATCTGATCGATCATCGTCTACTTTTAATTTTATTTTGCAAGTTATACTGGATTTAATTCCTCGTAAGCTAATTCAACAGGAAATTTTGAATCGTGTTCTTTCTAATTTAATTCTGCAAATGCAAACATGGTGGAGCGTCATTTTGAGATAAGATGAAGTTAATCCATGTAACCGAATAACTGCCAACGTTGCAACAGAGTCAATAAAACAGAAATTGTTTACGGTTGATCCAGCTGTCGATCGATCAGCCTGAATAGATTACGTACAACGATTTCGTACTAATGTTATACAAGTTTTTGCAATCTCGTAACGTAGATCACCGAATCCATTTCCCATATTTCTTTCTCTTTCCTCGTCTCATTGTTTGTACGTCGATTTTATTATAACGAACGTCGAGGATTTCTGTTCCAGCGCTTTTCGTTTTATCATCCGATCGAATATGTTTGGACTATTGTACATAAATAGGCTCAAACATGTAACAGCGACAAGACAACAATTACAATTATTGTAGAAACGATGATGTCTTACGAAATAAACTACAGATTAATGGACGTTTCTTCAACATGTGTTCTTTAAAGTGTCATTTCACCAAAAATATGTAAAGATTGCAGAGTAATTGCAAAAATTAGGAATTTTTTGCAACCCTTTATGATTATCCTAATTAATTTAGCATAATTTTAGTGTAATTTCCTATCGAATACTTTCATAAATTGTCATATGCATTTCAATTCATTCCACCAGTTGCAAAAAGTAAGTTAGTTTATTCTGAGTGTTTGTTACAAACGAACACAATAAAGAAGTAATACGTTACATCAAGTTGTACAAATATTTATCAACATTTTTTAACAATTAACACGTAATTCTATTTAAATAATTAATAACGTTTCGTATATTCTCTATTACGCTTTGCAATAACTTATTATCTACAAAAATATGATTTTAAGACAGGTTCGTATGAATCGATCATTCGATGTGTGATAAGTATCCGATTTAAGTATCGCAGACACTCAGGTCAAGCTGAGATAATAATACAAATGAAGATTCTTTTTGCAATCAAACTGTACCATGCTGGTAGAAATCCCAGTGCAGTTTCTATCTTCCTACGAGAGATTCTTTAATCTTCCGATTGATCCATTCACGATAGTAAGATACTCTGACATAAACACCGGGTTTATTGGCTTTTCCGCACTGCTGTCCCCAACTGGTAAGCCCATACAACGTGAAAGCACCTATATTGCAGAGAGACAGACAAAAATTACATTTATTACTCTATTTTTCTACCAATTTTATATAGAATTTCATTGGTTGGTCAAAAAATACAGAGAATGAAGGAACAAAGTGCAAAATATTTGGAATGAAGGACTCAGAAGACTGAATTTAATAGTCTTAAACGTTTGGTAGAGAATTTTGGTGTAGAATTTTATAAAGAAATTCTTAAAAAGCTATCAATAAACGAATATACAAAATTCTTTGCAATAATTTGAATAGTAATATCTTTGAGCACATTTAATCTTCTTCAAATCTCTTCAAACATCTTTTAACACGTTTAAAATATTACTTCACAACGTTTATAAATATATTTGCATTTTCTCGTGTCAATTTGTCGAAAAAATTTCGTTTTGAATTTGGGTCACGTCAAAAAGTCATTTGGCCACGCTTTCGTTGCATTACCATTGTCCAAGCACACCAATGGTCCGCCAGAGTCTCCATCGCAGGTGTCAATACCCTCATCGAGGGTCCCAGCGCACACCATTCCATCGTTGATTGCACTCTCGCCATAAACGTGGTCAGCAGAACAGACAGATTGATCTAATAACGGTATCCAAGCGTATCTCAGATCTTTGGAATGAGCTGCACAATAAACGGACGATACATTGTATTATAGCAAATTCTCGAGATTGGAGAAAAATTTATCTAACCTCGATTGTTCATTAATAATAAAAAGAAACAATTGTGAAGAAATAATCGAACTTCTACGATGAAAAACTTAGAATCATTTTAATACTATTCTTTGATAATTACCAAATTCATCTTAAATTTAACTGAATATAAATTCGTGTATCTATCATACAGAATCTTGCAAGGAAAAATTTATTTTCTATTTATTTTCCTACTTCATTCTGCATACTGAAGAGTCTCTTGTCTCGTAAATAAATAAAAAGGTAAATGAATATATTTACGAGGACCAAAATTTATTAATTTTTAACCGAGGATTGAGATTTATTAATTTTTAATTATTTGTCAATGGAATTATTAATTAAGGAACGAATCAGGTAATAGATTAATATCTTCAACGTGTCACTGACCTGATATACCAGTCTGGATACTACCAAATCCACTGATGGTGCAATTGAGACCTGGCTGATATTCGATGTCCTCGGATGGCAGGCAAATGGGTACAATATCTTTGCCAAGAGGCAAAGTCCCTTGTCTCTTCAGCAACACGAGTGCAATATCGTTGTTCATTCGAAGGCCTTTACGGAAGTCCTCGTGAATGTAATAATCCTCGATGTCGGCGTCCACTTCCGTTCCCTCGGATATCTAGAATATTTTCAGAAGAAGGGAAATAGCCGTATTTTTCCCTGCTAATGGGATTAAAACGTGTTTAATTACCTCTGTATTATAATCACCGGCACGAACGAAATAAGTTCCTTTATTGTATCCTTCTAAACAATGAGCAGCCGTGAGCACGTGCAAAGGAGAAATAATCACTGCTCCACACCAATGATTCGAGTGGCCGTTTCCTCGTACTCGAATACTAGCCTGCAAATAGTGCAACGAGATATAAAAAGAAAATAATAAAAATAAATAATTAATAGTTAATAATAATAACAGTTATAGTAATAATAATAATATAATAGTAATAATATAGTTAATAATAGTTTGTATCAGTTAATTAGTATCTATTCAATGAATTATTCAAACCTATGCGTCAATCCTTTATACAATGAACAATTCAATTTGGATTAATTTATCATGAATAGTAGCATTTATTGGCAAAACACAATCCTATAATTTCTGTCTGTATGTACGTACATGAATTATTTCATTAAAATTTAATTTATTTCACTTCCTAGATAAACAGTTTAGACAAATTAAATACAAAATATATATAAATATTTTATTTTCGTAGAACAGAAAAACGATTATTTCATAGAACACTAGGAGAATATGGTATGAAAAGGAAAACAAGGAGAAACACAGCGAAAAGGAAAAGAACAAAGGATAGAGAAAGAGCAGCAAAAGAGACAATCATAAAATGCCGTTAAAAAGACAACCAGTTCTCATCGTGACACTCCTCTTCATCGACCTTCATCGAGCACTTTCGATTCTACAATATATATTACTCGTATTCATTCGTCCTTTCCCAATTTAATTTAAACAAAATTAATATAAATAATTTTAATCATTTTATTTATTAATTTCATTTGTTATTAATTTTAAAAGTTAATTTTAAAACTACTTGAAAAAATAATTCTAAAAATAATATTAAATCATCGAATTAAAATAAAATTAAATGAGATAAAATAGTAAGTAAAAATCTTTAAGTAAAATTCTAACCTTATATTATATGTGTAATTTATAAAACAATTAAGTACAAATTTATTTATTGTTGATTCTAATTGTAACTTTATTTTAAATACATTGTCTCTTTTATTTTGTGTCTATAAGGAGTTGATATATATCGTATAAAAATTAAGGAATATTAGGTGAGGAAGAGAGAAGTTTAATGTGATCCCTTTCGAGTATTCCTGAAGCTATTTTTTTGAATTCCAAATCCTGACATCGATACATATTAAATGGTTAAATACAAGATTAATTATAATTCTTAGCCTACCCCGAGAAATAAGATCGGATAAAGAATTAATTTTTCTAAGTATCAATTTGTTCGCAGCACAGCCATGTGTTCAAGGTCTATTGACATTGAACGATTTGATTAAATATGCATTCAAGGAAATTACTAACTTTGAATTTCCGCCCTCTACTGGGGGAGATTGTTTCGATTTACCTTGGAATTGTTAACGTCTCCAGGTGTACAAATCACACCTGCGTCCTCGTTGTGATTGCAGTTATGTTCACCCCACATACTGTGCTCGCATCGATACAGCTGGGTCTCGTTACCGTAACAGAAAACCTTCGTTCCAAGAAGCAAGCGTTTAAATAATTTCGAACATTTATGGAAAACAGTATAAATAGGGTAATAGAATAATTATAAAATGTTTCTGATATGTGAATCATTTCTGGCAAAGTAATTGTATCTCACACTGATACCGAATATCTTATCAGCAATAACAAATTTCATAAGAAATTTGCTTTTTATAGATTTTGATAGATTTTTATAGAAGTTAATCGTGTTAAATAAATTGAAATTAAATAAATTAAAATTTATAAATATATTAAAGAATGATAGTACGACTCTATGTCTCGATTAGAATTTTTCTTCACGAAACTTACTCCGTCCAGCCATATTGGTCCCTCTCCTGGTCCATAGAAGCCATCTTTCTTTGCAATAGCAGGTCCACCGTACCCTAAAGACCTGCAAACCACTGTGGCAGCTTTATCCGTAAAGTCGTCATCGCAGACTGTACCCCATACGCCATGATGACGAACTTCAATTCTTCCTTCGGAAGGTGAACTTCCATTTGCCAAACGTATCGCGAATGGAGCCTAAAATTATTACAATTGTTCCACGAATGATTACATTTAAATTTCCCAATATTTGTATGAAATAAAAATACATATTATCTTAATAATATAAAATTATAATATTAATTTATAAGGCATAATTAATACACTCCCAATATTTTCTTTTTATTAATAAAAATATAAATATAACGAAAATTCAAGTAACCACATAATGTCTCAATTAAAAATCCTTCTCAAATTTAGTTTCACACGTTGAAAATCTACTGCAATATGACAAACGTGATACATATTCTTCAATAAAGTTACCCTGAAAATTGCATCACTGTGTGAAGTCTTTAAGGTTATTAAAATTTTGCTCATTCTTCTATCCACTCTCAAATCCATAATAATAGTGACATCGTAATATCGTTTAGTTCAGAGAAAGCAGGGGACTCTTACGTTTAAAATGCTTTTTGTTTCAAGTCGATAGGACTTACCGTTCCCGAGATATCATCGTTCAAAGCGAAACGTAATTTTCGGTGGTTTTCTCTTCGCTCTCGCTCGCACAGTCGATTCTCTCACTCGCACACCGCTCGTAACTGACCTATACCAAGAGTGACCCACATGCGCTGGTCAGGGAGAAAAAAAGTAGGTCACAGCGTCTCCGGGGTTTCAGACCCCATTCTTACTGAACGCTTTGTTCGGTGAACTTCGAGACGTTATATCTCAGGAACGGAATGAGATATCGACTTGAAACAAAGCACATATTCAAGAGCATACTTTCTTCTATCTACCGAGTGCAACATCTTATGAATTATTTTACTTTTTCCGGTAGTTTTTTATAGTCAAACTTTATGTTGTATTAAGAGACGTTCCATTGATTTTTCTCGATACTTAGTATCGACTAAGAAAATTTTTATAAGTAATATCTATCTAGTATTACTATAGTTACTGTATTAATATATTTATTATTACTATTAAAATATCATTAGTTATTTCTTTTTTCTTAATTTCCAATTTTAATTACAAATTAAATACTTTTATCGTAAATAATAAATATATAAACGATAGAAGAGTTATATAACAAAAATATAGCAAAAATCCGAATAATTACAAGTTTAGAAAAGATGCTGTAGAAATTTTCATAAAAGATAATTAATTTTGCTCAATAGTATAACTACTTCAAACTCGTTACTCACGTCACAATGCTCGGCACTTTCATCAGAACGATCTTGACAGTCATCAACCATGTCGCATATATACGCAATTGGAATACACATTGGACTGTTGTCGCATTTCCAGTAACCTTCCTGACAAGTATTGACCGCAGTCTTACAAGTCACACCTACTGCTTCTTCGGGTTGACAATTGTGGACAAACCATCTTTCGAAAAAGATTCAAATTCGATAAAAAAATTTCTCGCTATATTCGCAATAATTTGCACCTAACATTTTCGTTTATATTACCCCTCGGAATCGCATTCGCGCAAGGAAGTCTCGTTGCCTCGACACTTCAATTCGTCAACTACAAATCTTGTCGGTGGATCCATGTTACCAAAGTATCCCCCAGTTACGACCTTCAGTGCGCCAAACTCGAAACCAAGCTCTTTGCAAATTACCTCGGCGTCGATCATGTCAAAAGCATCGTCGCACACTTGTCCCCAAACGCCCAAAACTGCAAGAATTTTTAGTTTCATAAATTAAAATAAAATTTAATTTTCTCTTAGCACACGTAATAATTTTAAAAATGACACTAAATTCATGCAAATTCTCCATGCGAAATTTACTCACTTCTAACTTCGACTCTGCCCTCGTGATTATTATTCGTACCAGCTAATCGAATGTCGTAGTCTAATCTTTCTTTAGTGCAAGCCTTTTCGTCGCTACGATCGTTGCAGTCATTCTTCCCATTGCATACTTGCGTTTTGTTTATGCACTTCTGATTCTCGCAAATGAACATTCCGTTGCAGTTAACGCTTCTTTCCTTCATCTCGTAGTAATCAAAATCCTTGTCAGGTTTCAACGACCCTGTCATTCCTATGTTGCCGTCACTTAGAAGGCAAACATTTCCCTCGGACCTAGAGATAAAACGAATTAAAATATTAAAATTTACAATCTTGAATTTTTATAAAATAGACTGTTTTTACTCTGTTAGAGAAATTTTTAAAAAGTACAGAATTTTATAGAATTCTTTTGTAATTTGTTCTCTCAATTAATAGAAATTAATAGAAATTAATCGAAATTAATCGAAGTTAATAGAAATAAATTCGCATTATTTTTAGTGGTGTCAAAAATATGAAATATTAGATTCTTCAATGCATAGAATATATTATTTGGTTGCTACTTTATTCATTTTCAATTAAAACTTATAATAAATGGCTTTAGAATTTTTTGGAATTTTTAGTTTTTAATAGGAGAAACTATAAACTCTGTACTGATTATAAAAATACATTCAGAATTAAATATGCAATGGTAAGAGTATACTTACTTATGTGCAAATGATCGACAGACAAAATCAGCTTCCTTGCATCTAAGGGCGCACGTTTTCAATGGCATGTTCAACCACTTTTCAACATCATGCCCTTCCAATTTATTCTTAGGATACTTTTCGAAATGGCTCATGTAAGAAGCGCAATGTCTCTCGTCCGATCCATCTGTGCAATCCTTAAAATTCAACAAAATAAATATTTCTAATTTCAAGATTTCCATCGATTAAAAATATTTTTTAAAATTTCAATTTGATGAAATTTATTATTAATTACTGTTTACTGTCATTTTGGAATAAGAAACGTGGTATACCTCTTCGCCGTCGCAAACCCAAGGTGATGGGATGCATTCTCCTAGAGAACATTCGAAATGCTTAGGCTTGCACTGACTTATCGATCGCGATCTTTGAAAACCTGAAAAAATAATTCTTTGAAATCACTCGATATAAATAAAAATTTACGTAATACCGTAAATTAGGAGTTTTATTATGAAGCATTACCGGTAGTGATTGCAGTATTTCCACAAGCAGGAAGGTCACACTGTTCTCGTTCTCCAAATGGTCCAGTGTAACACCATGGTTTGCTCTCTCTGTTCGGATTCGGATTTCTACAGTAATTGTGGCTCTTTAATTTTTCTCTCATCTCTGTGTTAACGATCTGAGGCATAAAATTCTTTGACTTTGTATAGCGTAAGATAAAATAATATTATAGTATCATAGTCTGGTATCATAGTAACAGCGTGAATATAACGTAGAAAATAGCAAAATCTGAGAGAAGCGTAATTATTTAAAGAAAAAAATATAAGAATAATGTGGAAATACAAATTTATGGAACTAACGTTAATTAGAAGCGAATGAGCAACATCTGGATCACCCCATGATAGACAATCCTTGCCTGAAACTGTTACATTCGCATTTCCAGCATACTGGCTTCCTTTCCCATAAATGCAACCTGGAAAATGATTAAAAATTTTTGAATATTAATTCTCGTATATTATTTCATATTTTGCGTCCCCTGTAGACCTCTGTGTAAACTTAAAAGAGAAACCCTCTTGTCATCAGGAGCACGAAATTTTCGAATAAATTGTCAATTAAGAATCAAGAGGAGAGCTGTGTCAAAATACTAATTAAAATGTGTAATTCATACCAATGTCGTTGTAAGATCTCTTACAAATGTAAGAGTGACCCTTGCCAGAGGAAGCACAGTCCTCCGCATCCCAGAAGAAGTAATCAGCAACGCAAATCGAGTCTGGCCTGTCGTGACATGGAAATTTGCGCTTCATTATGATACAAAGAGGACGAGAGCCCACGTGTGGAGGGTGTTTCTTGTCCTCCTTCCAGCCTGGCCACCATTTCGTGAACCTAGTTACGGTTAATTGATATAAAAGGGTCGAGTATTTAAAGGTACACTTTAATCCCTATTTTAACACTAGAATCACTATACTAAAATATTTCTTAACCTTCCTTGACCGTTGTCAATAATCGTAAATAACGAAAATAATTAACTTTTGCCAGAATAAAAGCCTGCATTAATTCTGTTAACAGCAACTGCACGTTGTCAGAAAAATATAAACAAAAATTCTGATACCAATCATTCTAACTACTTCTACAATTCTGTCATTAAATCAAATATATGTCATACATATTTCAATATTATCTACATGTAACAAGATAATTAAAGATCATAATACTCATGATCAAATACTGTCAATATTTTCTTAATCACCGAATCTTTTTATACCGAAAATTGTTTGATAAATAATCCACGACTATTAAGAGACTAAAAGTACCTAAATTTCGCGCGAGAAGAATCCTCCCAGACCCAGATTATGTTATTCATACTGAAGAAACCGACGCCAGAAGTCATAATCGACGTGACCTCTGGGTACTTTTGCAGCAGCCATTCAGAGATGAAATCGTTCTCCGCCTGACTGGAGATATCGACGAGACCTGATTGCCTTTGCGAACAATAGTCTACTGCTTCTTGATGGTTCAAGGCACTGTCAGGTTTGCCCACATGGTAACAGTACCCTTCGTATGGCACTTCGTCTTTCCCACAATAAGCCACGCGATTTAACATGCATCTCACACCGACCGCCTCTTTCTCTATGCGACACTCTTGCTCGTGTGTAAATCTGCAAAATAATTGCTCAAACTTAGTCACTTACTATTATAATAATTTTATATTACAATGATCCGAAAACATTTAAAATAGTAATCGCGATTCGGTATAAATCTGATCATTCAGTGCAAAACTAAAAATTAAAAATTACAAAATTTATTTCGATTTTCAAAATAATAGCTTTTAAAATTAATTAATTAGTAAATTAATATAAACAGTGACGCAAATCAGGATCTACGAAGATACGAATTTCAGTAGCTTCTGAGATATTTCGTTATGACTCATAAGCACTATCATATTTAAAATTGCCATAGACGTAATTCCTCTCGCTATCAGCACATCAGATTCAAACACGGAATTTTTGAAGCGACGGATAAGTAAAAAATTACGATCAATAAATCTGTCTCTATTAAACATTAAATTATAATTTACAGAGCACGACTTCCAGGAATTGTTTTGCAAAAGTTTCGTCCAGTAATGAAGCTTCCTGCTTGGAGATTATAGTTTCGAAACTGTTTTATTGCAAAGTCCGAGGGCATGATACGTAACATGTTTCGTGTGATTTATGCAATGTTTGTCCTGCACGTCGACGACGTCAGGAGCGTCTTATCACGAAAGATATCGGCGAATCGTCATCGACATACTTGCACGATTGAAATTTGCTCTCGTTGCCTTGACACGAGACGGTGTTTGCTGCGATCCAAGTTGGCACGTCACCGCGATCGGTTCTCCCTTGCCAAGCCATCTCGGCGCCTCTGTAAAGAACAAAGGAATTTCTGTCTCTTCGTATTCGCAGATTCATATGTATCCCGTGTTGTTGTTGAATTCCAAATGAGCAACGTACATCTTACCAAATAATTTCTATAAATTATCATTACAGGTGTATTATTTTATATTGACATAAAAGTGGGTACAAAATAAATTTGATTTTAATCATTTCTGTAAATTATTATTATAGGTGTATTATTTTATATTGACATAAAAGAGGGTAGAAAATAAATTTGATCGATGATAAAGATGTTATATGATTTTATGACAAATTTTATATGTGTTTACCTGGTATATCCAAGTTGTTTGCATACAACGTGTGCTTCCTTCAAAGACCAGCCGTTTCTCTTATCGCAAACGATGCCCCACCCAGGATTTACACCTTGAACTTCCACGTATCCGTCGTGTGGTCCAGAACCACCTCTAAGTCGAACCACCTGAGATACACGATTCAATTATGCATCGTAAATTAAAAATAAAAAGCTCAAAAATGGACAGTAACAGAAATGGAAAATTTATAGTCCATTGTCATAATAAAGAAAAGTAATATTGCAATATTAATTAATAAAATATTAATATCGTAATATTAATTTTAATATTAAATGTAGCATAAAATAATAACAGAAACGCATACCTGGCCAGAAATTGGTGTCGGCTGAGCGGTATTTTTGGAATGATCTATTGGTTCCACTGGTGGAACATAGTATGACGGGAACGGTGGTTCCTCTGCAAAACAATATTTCCCCATTGAATATTGCAATCTAATTGGCAAAATTCTCCGTATCAAAATTTTCACTTAATTCAAAATAAAGGAAAGCTGATGAAAAATTTCAGTTTCCAAATTAATATTAAAACATCAACTATGGTGACGTTATATCTCTCTATAATTCACGAAGCTATGAAATTTGACATGTCAAATAATCAAATCAAAAGGTGCAATATGTTATCACAATTTTAATCTGTCTGAAGCCCAATGTTAACAAATCTTAGCAACAGCGATCCATGCGAAAAGCCAGAAGATCAATTGCGCGAGGATATGCTCGCAAGAAAAGACCCCAGAACTTACCTTTCAATCCCGTTAGACCCCTAGACACTACGACTAAACACAGACAAATATCAACGACACACTTACCTTCTTCGAATGGTGGAGCCTCGATATTAAAAAGATCAACGTCAACCTTCTTCTTATTGATTTTCATAATAGCAGAGGACTCCGTGGTAGCTTGAGTTTTATTCTCGAAAACCAACACCGGTTTCCAAATTTTCTTGTCGTCCAGCACATCCACGTCGTCTTCGGGATCAGGCTCAACAATGTCTGGATAGTCGATTTTCGTAGAACTCTCTTCTTCCACCGACTCGATTGGCACACTCGGGAGTGTCGTAGTAGTTGTCATGGTCTCAGCAGTTGTCATGATCTCAGCAGTTGTCATGGTCTCAGCAGTTGTGGTCTCAGCTTCTGCAGTGGTCTGAAGGAACCTTTTCTTCGGTGGAACCGACTCGGGATCCTCTGGAATCCTTTGAGTAGAACTGCTGGACGTGTAAGAGGGTTCGTCGTAACGATTACTGGGTTCTTCATACGGTGGTTCGAGATTGACAGATGGAACTTTGGGATATCGACCGTTAGTGTTTGGCATAAAGCTTGGAGGTGTCAATTGACTCGGTGGCTGAGAATTGGTGGTCGATCCTGGATCTCGATTGGTCTCCGTCGTTGCAGGATTGGGAGTATCCTGGTTTATTGGTTCGTAGGGTGGCTGCTGGGGCTCGACAACTGGTTCAGCCGGATATTGCCAACCGATGGGAAACGTTGCGTTTGTACGAGTGTTCTGGTGATGTGGTGATTGCGAATAGATGGATGGAACTGGTGGAACGTAATTGTTGTTCCTTGAAGTGTCGACTGGAAACGGGGATGGCCTGTCTTCATCTGGATATGGCGGCTCGAGAGTCAACGATGGCACGACTACGCGGTGGTAATTCGTATCTGTTGAATTGATAACGTTTAAATAAAGTATTTAGTAATTTAGGAATTTATTAATAATCAAATGTTAATATTATTTTAAAAATTAATATTTTAAATTTGAAATAATATTAATATAAAATTCGTATGAGATTTATCTTATCGTCCCATAATTGAATTTTAGCATTTTAACTAAAAAATATATAAATATAAATTATAAAATATATTAGAGACAGAATATATTTTATTAATTCTTTCATTCCATAGACTATTTAGTATGCTACCTTTGTACAGTCAGTATACTGCAGCTATTGAAAATCAAAATCTAAAATTAATGAGTATTATGAGTGTAATTATTTGGAATAAATCTTGATATACTATATTATTTAATTCCGTGTGTGACAATGTTTTATTTATGAATATATTGCCATGTGTTTGTAAATAAATAAATAAATAATAAACTACATATTTATTCGTGATAAAGGAAGCTACATTATGAATCAAAAATAATTACCAGATTCTGCTAAATCTTTGTTATCCATTGAATTTGGGTTATCCATCCAATGCTTAGGCATTCGATGACCATACCCATGAGAAGTACTTCTACTTTCCGTGGTGCTGGATTCAACTGAAGGTTTAATGGGACTGAGAGGTGGTGGCTGAAGAACCATAGACGGTATGTAATCGAAATTCATCGTCTGAGAATCGACATAGACATTTTGATCGGGTTTGCTATACGTATTGGAGTTTTGAAGATCATTGGGGCTATAATTCTTCGTTTTAGAATGACCCTGGTTCACTTCGATTTCCTTCGTGATAAAATGACCCCTCGTGCCATTCACGTTCACGTATATGCCATTTGGGTACAAAAGATTCGTCGAATCGGTTACGGTATTCTTAAGACCTGCAAAGGAAATTGAGAAAATTGTAAAAATATTGCAAAAATATTAGAACACTGTCTGTATACCTGATCCACGTTGTCCTTTCTTCTGCAGATGAATATTCGTTTTCGACGCCCATGCATCCATCTTCGAGTCTGCTTCTCTATCAGCTGTGCTTTGATAAACATTCGTTCTAGAGTCCCTGTCACGGAATTTGTCATCCCCGTTGACTGGATCTAGGAAAAATCGGTTCTCAAAATTCTCATTACCCTCCGATATTTAATTTAAAAAATACAAATTTGACACCAAGCAAGGCAATACTGACAAATATCTACTTCGATCCCCTTTTTCCGACTGCTTCATTCAATCACATGGTATTTTATAAAAAAAAAAAAAGAATTATACATATATATTTACATGAATGTAAGTTAAAGTAATTGTATTGCTTAGTTACAGATTATGAAGTATTTACCTGTTTCCGAGAAATCATAGAATCAATCAACATCTTGATCCGTCCAAAATGAAGATCACACTAACCGAGTCCCATTGATTATATTCCTCATTAATTTTACTTACTGCTCATTGTTGATAAATCCCTCTAGACTTCGTTTCAGTTACAAGTAATATCATCTCGGTATTTTCACCTAAATTTTTAATCCCTCTTTCATACTCGTAATGCACAATGACATGCTATGAAATTAACAACTTTCGTGCAGTGTCATACACCAGACATGCGAGACATGCTTCGTTTAACGTCCACTGTGCCATCGAAATATTTCTCTATCAATGCAAATGAGAAATACCAAGAATGTTGACTCAAATATGTAACAATAACCTCGTTTAAAGCCTTCCTTCTCTAATACATGTCAACTCTACCGGGGATCTCAAATTCATGCAGTAATCCACCAACCTGCACTTCAAGGCTCAAAATACCACTCAAAAATCACCTTGATTCCACTGTCGAGTCTGTGTATGTCCTGGTCCATGTGGATTCCAGCTGTTGTCACTGTGTGGCATGTATGATCCATGCTGCTCACCCCGGTCCCACGTCCTTCTATTCCACGTAGGCTGTCCATCCACCCTCGACTCGTCCACAGGCACCTGGTACCCACGATTATTGTAAACGCGAGAATTTGGATCACGTCCGCGCTGTGGGTAGTCAGGACCGATTCTCCCATACTCTTGTCTATTAGGCGTGAACTCTTGACCGCTTCTTCGGTTCGGTGGCACGTTGCCTTCGCTAAACTCGAAGCCAGGATTCGACGAGAGATCGAATCTTTTATCAGGAGTCTTTTCCTCCTCGTCCATCTCGGAGACAGGCTGCTGAGTCTGCTGGGTATCTGTCGCAGAGTCGTCGGAATCCCAGTAACTCGGAGTCACCTGAGGTATGCCTTGGACACCGTGATGAAAGTGGTGATGTTCGTGCTGGTACACGCGGTTTGCATAATTAGTTCCACTTTCTTGGCCTTCAGGTCTTTGAGGATTGGACGGCTCGAAGGGAGAAGCAGGCTGCTGTGTTTCGGATTCTCTGCTGGCATTGTAAGGCACTCCGTGAGGGAAGTAATTGCTATAGTGATGGTGATGGTGATGGTAACTCGGGCTGTGATCAATTGTTCCGTGATTGTGGTCCCAGTGATGATGAGGATGACCCGAGTTTGGCCACTGGCCATGATCACTGTATCGGTGCTGCTGATCGGTATTTCCCTGTTGTGTGTCGGTGTTAGAAGGATGTTGGCCTTGAGAATAGGGTGGCGTGGCAGTGGTCCAAGTGCTTGGCTTCCAAGTTGGCCTCAGGAGGTCCCAATCCGTTCTCGAATGAGCTGTTGTCGCGGGAATATTGGGATATCCTCGGTTGTAGTTTGGTCTGTGATGATCTGGAGAACTGTGATCGTATTGATGAGGCTGCCAGGTTCTTGAGCCAGTGGAACCTGAGGAGAGCGAAGTTCGATGTCCGGAGCCGAAGTGGGTTGATGAACCTCCCGATGATTGGTGCGTTCCCGATGATTTATCTAGGGTGCGATTGTAAGATAATAAATTGAGCAATTAAAATGAAATATATAGAAAATAAAATAACGAATTGAGAAAAATTCTGTTCCAGTGAAAATATATTCATTCTCAAACCGTTGACATAGGCTAGGTTAAAAATGTATTCGAATACTTATGTCTATCTAAGCTTTCAATGAATACAATATACAGTCTAAATTCGAAATTTCAATACTTTACTCTAGATACAATACTACTTTCAAATTTGAACTTACAATTAGACCAACTTGTACGTTCTACTCATAAAAGAATTTAACTTTTTGGAAGACATTCGTGAGAAACTGTAGACAGTGTGGTAATGGTTACATAGATTTTTAAGTATATATGTGTTGGGATGAATGGAACAAGAATGCATGGGATTCTAATATCTAATGAATTCAGGTTATTACGATAAATGAGTATGCGTATAATAGAATAAAGAAGAAAGAAAAGAAGAGAGTAATTTGACATGCATTAGTTACAATTTGGTATTAATAGTGATAAGATGAGAGTGTAATTGTGAGAGATTAATTATATTTCAAGGTAATATTTGTGTTTAATAATCTTTGTAATTAAATAAATAATAGTTCTTATTGTTATTAAATTTCGTCCACCACTATCAGACAGTTACCTTTGACACAGCTAGGTACATTGTAAGGCCAATCGCAGACGGAAATTAGGGGATTGAACGCTGTGCCAGGACCACAGTCCATGATAAACGTTCCTCCCTTCGTGCACTGAAGAAACTTCGTACACGTCTCAGGATGGGGTAACAACCCTGTGAAATCTGCAGGGCAGGAGATCTTCGGTGGTTCAGGTTTTCTGTGCTGTAATCGTCCATTACTGTCGTAGTAAAATGGAACCAGCGGTGTCGTTGTGTCTCCTTCAGGCTTCAGAGCATCTGTTTTGCAATGTGTTATTGGTATTCTTGAACCAATTATTTATTACTCTTTATATTGTACTACCTTCGCAGCCTTTCACGTTTCTAGGCCAATCGCAACCACTGATGGCAGGATTGAACACAGTGCCAGGACCACAGTCCATGATGTGCGTTCCTCCGTGTGCACATTGCAGGAATTTCGTGCAATCTGAGGGGTGTGCTAGCATACCTGTCACATAGGGTGGACATTGCGGTTCCTGAAATTAGAATTCAGTATTTTTAACAATTTTTTTATTCCATTAAATAAATGTTAAATTAAACGTTATATTTAAATATAATTTTTAAAAAATATCAGAATTTATTAGAATTTATTAGAATTTCGAAGGTAAAGAAATTTTGAAAAATTATTCGAACAATTTTAAGATTCGAGTTTCGAGAGTTTAAAAATTAGGTTCGAATTAATACCCCTAATTCGTACCGACCTGTGGCCTTCCCCTATGGTCAATGAAACCTTGGTGACTACCGTGTGACAATGGTTCTCGTCTTCCCGAAGAATCATGGTGCACGTTCGATGGGAAATCGGCTATTTCTCCGCCATAACATTTGACTTTGTGGGGAAAATCGCATTCCAAAGTTTCTGGATTGAACAGAGTGCCAGGGGCGCATGGCTGGACGAAAGCTCTACCCTTCCAGCAGCTCACGAAGAATTTGCAATCGAGGGGATACACGAACTCCCCTGTTGAATCGGATTCTGGACATTGGACACCTCGTTCGCTGTCATGTCGAGCCACCGTGAGCTTTGCTTTCGTTGGCAGAGGAAGCTTCTCTTTGCGGGGTTTCTGAAATAATTTAACAAATTTTTCATAGTATATTGTAATAATTACTATATCATAACAGTGACATATTGCAATAACTATATTTCAATTAAATCATCGCATCTAATAATTATTCTCGCACCATATAATTCTTAATTGATAAAAGGCAAAGCACGAAATTAGATGAATTTTAATTTAATTAATATTTCTAATTAATATTTAATTCGACTTACACAGACTATGTGTACTACGTGGTTTCTATATTACACCATCTGTCACGTCGAAGAAGAAATTATATTCGAGGAAGGAATGTTGCTTTCTGAGAAAGTGGAGTGTAAGGGTAATGTATGTCAACTAATGTTTAAAGGGAAGCAAAACAATTTCCATTCGTTGTCGTTATTGCACACTTAACCTTCTTAATTGACACGCTGTCGCTATTCCCGTTGCTTTCCACGAAACCCGATAAAGCAAATTTATCATTTATGCGAACAAGTCTAATATACTCTTCGGAATAACATTCCTAACGCTTTGAGACATAACAAAGATTTTCTAAACTTGGAAAAAGATTAACACGTGTTATTATATATATTTAATATATATTACCGTACTGTCAGCAGGTACTCCTTCGTAAAAATCCTGATCATCTTCTGCAGGTGGATTAGTTTTTCCTGAAATTTTCTTCGTTTTATGTTCCGCGTGCTCGAATTGACTGAACTCCAAATCATAACCATGCTGAAGATTCGACTGACTTTGAGAATCATCCTCGTTCTCTTCCCATGGAGTCCATGTTTTCTGCAGTTGAGCGTCTACCACGTAGGGCTTGTTGGTGACTTGCTTGTCTGGGTCCGTCTGCCATTTTGGAGAACGCGATAGATCTTGGCTGGAGTCGCCTTTGCCTTCCAAATACCAAGGAAGCAGTAACTCTCTTCGATTCGGTGCTTTCGTTGTCACTTCTTTGGGATCGTAAATCTACGTTCGAGTAAAATATTTGAAAAGCTCGCGAAATTAATTACGAGATGTCGTATTAATAAATTCTTAGTTTAGCTTTGATGTTTTCCTTATTTCCATATTTTATATATTTTTATATATTTTTATATATTTTTGTTTCTATTTTCTATTCATTTCTTTTAATAATATGTAAGTTTGAACCAAACAAATGGTTGTAATAAATTACAGATTACTATTGCTTCGCGATTGCACTATTTAGACGAATTCTATTGCACAAATTATTGTATTATATCCTTACGAAATTTGAAAACACGAGAATTCTAAGACCACAATTATAATAATATCACGTCCTGGTTTCCACGTTAAAAGACAAGCATTCATTGAGAAAACAATGGAATAAATAAGAATCTTATCTAATCGACAATTGGTAGCATTTATTTTCAATAAATTACTCGTCTTTGCATAAACTATTATCTTTCCATTGCAGAAATTATTACACCTATACGAAATTTTAAAACGCGTATCCACTTTGACATAAAATTATGAAATCTCGTGAAAGTACGAACATAATAGCAATGGATTCTGATTTTCGCTTTGATAAACTATCCATTCATCGGGAAAATATTGGAAAAAATATTAACCTTGCTTAATAAACATTTTTTAAATACATTTCTAAACTACGATATGTTTATCAGAGTTCCACTTCGTATTACGAGCACTTCGGATGTCGTACGCTTTATTAACGCAATAGCCAACGCTGCATAAACATCCGTAAACAAACAATATTGCGCAAAATCAAACATCGTTACACGATCATACCGTTTCTTCCTAACGTTTATAAAACAAAGACAGACAAACCGAATCATTGAAAATCACTGTAAGAAACATTTCACGTTACATATTCTCTCCGTCCTAATTACTACAAACCACATTGGCCACTTTCATCGACTTATCAGCGCTTATCTCGTCGATGCATATTAATAAGGTACTTTCCTCCGTCGATCGTCAGTGAAAACAGACACAGCTACAAAGAACAACGCCAATCTCCATTTTGTCATAACACAGATTGCCTGAAACTACTGTCTTACACGAAATGATCTAACTCTGATCGAAAACCTAATATGATCCTTATTAAAATCTTTTCATTCGACAACAAATTTCTTATCATCCCCACCAGGCTTCTGTCACATCCTTTGACCATATACTCGTTAATGACGATTGTAAAAGAATTAAAAAGAAGAAAAACATCCATGAAAAGCAAAGAAGAAGACAATACTATAATATCAAATTGACTATGTTGAAAAATGATCTATATTTTTAAAAATATCTATGACAGGCAAAGATTCGAAGACCTCCATCTTCTCGACATCTCCATCTACGCACTTGAGGCACGCCGCAGAGTATCAGTCCACCACCGTGGACCACCTGCCAAGTATCCGAACCACGTGACAGGAAGTAACACTACGAGAGCGAGTCGAAGGGACAGAGATCGATGAGAAGGGTGGAAGAATACGTACCGCGTGGACGGAAGTGGCGACGAGACATAGAACTAAAATGGCGGGAAAACGAGCGTGGTACCACATCATCCTCGGCGTCTCGGCGATACTACTGGCATCGCGGCGTGCGATTCCAGCATTTCGTAGGCCCGTGTTTACGCAGATAGTCGTTCCCGGAGGGACGCAGTGGTGGTGGCTCGGGATGAAAAGGTTATCAGTCGCGGCTTTAGGGTCGACACAGAGACCAATAGCCGGGAAAAGAATGCGTAGCCGAACGAGCAAGATGACGAGTGACGACGATAGCACTCGGGGCAAAGAGATGCGCAAGAGGAGAGCGGATTTTATTGCGCCGGCTGGAGGAAGAGAAACGTGGTTTTATCAACGCTCTAATAAAGTCAGTCCACACAGAACTGTTTGCCAATTGACTCCGCGGAGAACAAATTAGCCCTCGTTGACAACAATCAGACACGAGAGCTGATAAAGAGGCCGGCTATACGGGTGCAAAGAGTACGAGCGTGCAGGAATATAAAGGGGAAACGCGGTATGCGCGATGCTTCGATTTTTACACGGTTTTACTCTCTCGTCAGGCCACATCGCGATGTTGATGAACAACGAGTGCACGGAGATGAAGGGACGATGCACTTGCAACGATGCAACGCTCGCTGTTGGTGTTATTGGATGACTGATAGGTGCAGGTGGAGGTCTTAAGTCAGACGTACACGCGTATACAGGTGCATTGATAATTTGTTGGGTGTACACATCCTTCAGGAAGAGCAAGGGTTTTGGCTAGACCTCTGGGTGCCATTTTACATAGTATTCTTTAGCTCTCTTCGATTTGTCAAGCAGCAGGTAGAGGGAGAGCAATTATCGCAGAGAATTAAAAAATATCAGGGATATTTGTATTTAGAACAATTTAATAATAATAGCGTTGTCATACATATGTGTTTAAAAATACATTGACGAGGATATCAGTATGATAAAAATGAGCTAATTTAAGTTACACCGACTGCGGCAGACAATTATACTCTCCAACAAATTGTAATTTTTCTTAAATCTATAATATGCATTAGGTGATTTTTGTGCAGCAAGTAAAGGGAGAGCAATTATCGCTGAGAATTAAAAAATATCAAGGATATTTATATTTAGGACAATTTAGTAATAATAGCGTTGTCATACTTATCTGTTTAAAAATACATTAACGAGGGTATCAGTATGATAAAAATGAATTAATTTAAATTACACCAACTGAGGCGGACAATTATACTGTACAGCAAATTGTAACTTTTTCTTAAATCTATAATATGCATTGAGTGATTTTTGTGCAGCTTGTTTTCCTGAATACGAATCCGTAAAGAAAGTTATTTTAGCACGGTCAGTTTTTGAAAAATGTGAGTTTTTCTAAAAACACGCGACTTTTTGGGCTAAATAAAGGATTACAGGAAAATTAAAGAAGTTAGTAGGTTCGTTTTTGTTGTGAAAGTTAGGCGAGAGTTTCTCGAGTTTATGGATATCCATAATTATAATTATTTCGATTTTGAATAATTACAATTTATTATCAAAGTTTAGAAATAAACCGAGCGTACTTTCTACGTAGTATTCTTGCATTTTTACGATAAATTTTTTATCAAATTGGAATTCACAATATGCCATCGTATTCTCTAGACTTTTCTGAAGAAGAATTCATTGAACAGAATTGTCGACGCAGTTTGCAATTCGATTAGATGAAGAATATGTTTGTCGGTAACGCGTGTACGACGTTTTGCCGCCAAGCGGCCATTGCTCGAGTCGTCGCAGTATCGTACCTACGCGTAATCGACCCCGATAGTAATTACAATTTTACTTGCTTCTTCAAAGTATTATTCCAACCAACATTTCCTACATCAACCTCGCATTTCAAAAACAAATTCTAAATTTCTGGCGGATTATATGTGTTGTTATTCTATAAAAGACAAACTGGATGGTAACTTCTCGAGAGATGATAATGACAACTCTCGAACGACGAAACAATTCCATTCTGTCTGTTTTACCAACGGTATCGCAATATCGACGTGTCTGCTGCAGCTGATTTTACCTGTCGATGTTACGACATACAAAATGTCAGTTTATTTTTCATTATAGATATTAAATATGATAGTACTCTTTTAGACTTGTGCATAGCTATTCTTTTAAAAAATTTACATTTCTTTGTTAGATTTTTAATCGACGAAGGAAATATAACAATTCTTTTCAAAGTTGAATATCCGGTTTTTTGTGTCATTAATTCATGAATACGAGAGCAGGTGGAGCCACAGTACAGTATACTTTGTAACATTTGTAGATATATCGTAACTTAAGAACAATACAGTAGTGCCAAATAGATTTAATGAGTAAAATATAATTTACATATTATATGAATATATATTAGAGAGCTTGGAATGCATTTTTCTAATTCATATGATGGTATCGATGGTGATTTACCGTATTAAATAAATGATGTATTACTAATGAAATAACTTTATAATAATTTTTTAAAATATAAATAATTGTTATTGAAATTCACAAAATAAAAATTGATTTTTGATACATCCTTTACCTATTTCGATTCTTGTGACATGAATTTTTAAGAATTCTATTTTTATATATTGTGTGCTGATAAAATGCAGTAATAATTGAACAGTTCGTTGCTAGATGGAAGGACAGTATATACAGTAATGGTTGGAAATTTGTCGTCAAATAATACCATTCCAGATGAGGTATAAAATATGTAAATAAAGTAGATGAAAACAGGTATTAATTATGTTTCAATTACTGTTTTAATTCCATGAAGTTAACTTTACAATTATGGATTCATAAAAATTTATAGTGAAAAAAGATAAGTAAGAATTCGTAGTAGTTGCCATCCACTAATGATAGCGTGAAACATGTCAAAGTTTCAAACCGAAAATTTATAAACCTCGGTTTAGTTAATTGCCGATATAAATTATAGATGGCATAACAAGCCATTTGAGAACACAAAGCATTAACAAGGAGAGTGCAAGAACTTCGGGTCACCGACTTACAATTAGTTGAAACTTTGCTGGTTTGTAGATTCGTCACGCAGTTCAAGAATATATATCCGTATAGCCGCACTTACTTAATAGTTTTTGAGATATTTATTATTAATGTTTTATTAAAAGTGATTATGCATTTATTTCAAACATTTTAAAGCTGCAGTTGTGGGTTAACAGCGACATTTTTATATTCCTATGATTGAGGGTCAGGGTTTGCCAAACCATAGCGAATATTCTTTTTCGATCTATTTTTATTTTGTATTCATTTTTCGCCCATGAAAACGTCGTAAATAAACAAATAAAAAATAAACAAATAAAGAATTTCTTAATAAAAAAACTCATTTTTTACGTTTTCATATGCAAGTATATATTTATTACAAAATAATAAGAATATTATGCAAGAAAAACAGTTTTCTTATTTACTAATCTTATTTATTACAGAAAGAAAACGAAAATATAAATAATCGTTAGATACAGGAAATACAAAACCTATCGCTCATGTAAGTATTAATTATTAAATTAAACATTGTGTAAGAAAGTTGCTATAATTCCAACTTTGCTGTGCAGCTATAAAAGTTCATAAATTAACCACAGAAATTAAGTGATTTGTTAATTTTTCTCCAAGTGAACAGGAGAGTACATAGGAAATGAGAAAAAATTGCAAAAAAACGCTGGAAGCATTGTTGTGTCCAGGTGTGCCTGTATCATGCAAAAGAATGTAAGCTTTCTCTGAACATAACCTTCAATTGTAATTAAATAGTATAAGTTATGAGCCATTGTTTTTCCACCTTTTATTAGTGATAGCAGAGCTTGGTTGTGAAAAAATAATATTCTGTTGAATTAAACAGGCATGTGCAACAGTAAAAAAATATTGGATTCATGGAATGTCACCAGCGTAGAGCCATTAGATGCCAAGAATTATATTTTATAGCAAAAAAAAATTGAAGCAGCAATACAAATATATTATGATATGTTTATTGGATTCTAGGTTGGCTAACCATATAACATACAAAATAGAAATCTTTGATGGTCAAATAAAGATTCAGAAAATGGAGATGGCTTAGGCAAATAGAAAGGAATGAAATTAACTTAGGTGATGGCCTGTTATAACAACTAAATATAGAAAATACAGTGAGATTGAAAGGTATGTTGTATTTCTTATCTAAATAAATATTAATATCAGTGGTCCAAGCCAATGATCATCGCCAATGTGTTAAATTTCAGAATGATGGAGCTGAGGTATATAAACAAAAAAGAGAGGTTTGAATGAAAGCACTAAGAAGAAGAAACACATATTATGTCGAATTAAGAAACAGGAAAGGGCAGCATATGTATCAACACAGAAGAATGTGTGGCATGGACATTCAAACATAAGGATCATTGAAGAGATGGAAAATGGACACTTGGTAATAGTTATAAAAGTTAAAGATAATGGAATTGATTGGGCCAATAAAGCCAATGTTAAAAGGAGGTAAAAGGTACGTATTACCTGCTGATGATTATTCAAGAAAAAAACCATTTGGTTGACTGATTTGTAAATGTCTAAAGATTTAATATGAAATATTATTGACGCAGGATTTTTTTTATTATAGGAGATTTACCAACATGAGTAATATTTTTATGAAAGAGTCAGCCACTAAAGGTAAAGTAATAAGTATTAGTTAATAATATTTCAATGGATTGTATATCTGTTTTTAAAAATTTAACTGGTATACAATATTTACTTTCTAAATTTCTATATTAATATATTAAATAATTTCTAATTTGAATTACAATAATAAATAATAAATTTTGATAAATTTGATTTTAAAAGTATTTTATATTAATAAGACTAATATATTTGTTATAACTAGGTCACAATGAAAACAACTATTGATGATATTGAGTTAGAATTATGGGCAAAAGAAACTCCAAAGGCGTATAGAAATTTCATACAATTATGTTTGCTACGTTATTAGTATGACTATATTTCTTGGAATAAACAATAAGAAGGAAGACCGTAGTAGCGATTGACGATGAAGTAAAAACCCAAGAAGAATTAGAAGTTATAAAGAAAGAGATAGAGTTAGTCTATTGTTTACACTATAACTATGTTTTAGAAAGTAGGAATTTTTATTGACTGTCTTATATTTATATTTTTAGAGCAATGAAGGAAAGGATGAAAAGTAAAATGCAAGTTACAAAAAAAGAACTGAAAAATTGTATCGTTTACAATTATCGTGTATATGTGAAGCTTTCAAAGTGAATAAAAAGTACCTAAGCATATA